TTTTTTTTTTTTTTTTTTTTTTTTTTTTTTTTTTTTTTTGCAGTACTGCAGATTGAACTCAGGACCTTGCGCTTTTGAGGCAGGAGCGGCACCACTGAGCTGAATCCCTACCCAACACATAATATTTTAAAAGCATAACCAGAATCCCTCCAAATCCAACCTCCTCACCCCATGTTCTGGGAAGCTGAGCTGTGCTCCGGTGCTTCCACACCCGGGGCACCCACCAGGGTTGGGTGGCAGGATGGTGAGGCCAGGAGTCTGTCCTCCTGCTCCCCTTCACGCACGGGCCACCGCCACACCCGTCACCTGCAGGTCACAGCTCCCTGTGGCCCGGGCCCGTCGCAGCTTCCTCTCCCTCTGAACCCTGCCCACAGCATTCTAAACAGCTCCTTCTCCAGCTCCCTTCAAATTGCGCATCTGTTTCCCCGCTAGGACCCGGAACATGCAGTAAACGTTTTAGTTAGGCTCAGTTTTCGCAGCGAGCAACAGAAAACCCAGAATAACAGCAGCTTACATAAGAGCAAGTTGTGTGTGTCTCGCGCGCGTGAAGTCGGGTGTGCGGTAACCCGGGCCGACTTGGCAGCTGCGGGAACATCAGATCCGATGCAGATCCCGTGGACCCTGAGGACCGGTCCTGAGAGACGTGGGGTCAGCGATGTCTGCAGAGCCCTCCACCCTGGCCTGCGGCACACCTGGCGTCACAGCTGGCCCAGCCGCTGCCCAGCCGTGGCTTCCAGGCTGCCCCTGCGGGATTTGCCCTGGCAAGTGATATCCCTCGCAGTTGGCTCGGGCAGTTCCAGAAATTCCTCAGCTGCCCCCACACGTGCCTTGCAGGCCCTCGAGCCTCTCTCATGAGGTCATAAACAGTAGCTCCTGGACCTTTCACCCCCAGAGCTGGCAAGAAAATGCACCCCATGCTTGGTCCAGCTTTTCCTTGCCAGTGGCAAGAGGCTTTCTGCTTGGGCTGTGGTCCTGGAGCTGAGACAGGGACGTGCTTCTGTGCCCTGTCTTTGGCACAGGTCATTAGGAGTTTCCCCATATTTTACATAAGCCCTTCTCCGATTTTTATGAATTTCTTTGTTTCTTTGCCTTCAATAAAGAAGATCCTTGGGCCGGGGATTTAGCTCAGTGGTTCTGCCACCTGCCTTGCAAATACAAGGACCTGAGTTCGAACCCCAGAGCAAAGTGCAAACCCAAAAAAAAAAAAAAAAAAAAAAAAAAAGAAGATCCTTTTTGTTGTTGTTATTGGTACCAAAGATCAAACTTGGGACCTTGGGCTTTCAAGGCAGGTGGCGGAACCACTGAGCTAAATCCCTGGCCTCTGTCTAGTCTATTTTAAACTTGTGAGCTCAAGTGATCCTCCTGCCTCAGCCTCCCCAGTAGCTGGGATTATAGATGTGTACCACTGTAGCTGGCTGCAACTCACTCTTTTGTTTTGTTTTGGTAAGTATTTTTTATGTGTGTAGTGTTTTGAGAAAGGGTATTGCTTTGCAGTTCAGGCTTGCCTTAAGCTATGTAGTCATGGCTAGTCTTGAACTTGCAGCAATCCTCCTGCCTCAGCTTCCCAAATGCTAGAATTACAGGTGTGTGCAGCTACAGCTGGTGTCACTCTTATTTACTTATTATTTTCATACTTGGGATTGAACCCAGGTCCTTCACACTAAGGTGCAGCTTTAGCCTTTTTAAAAAAAAATTTTTTTTTTTTTAAATTTTGAGACAGAGTTTCACTAAATTGCTAAATTCCCCGGGCTGGGGTTGAACATGTGATCCTCCTGCCTCAGCCTCCTGAGCATTGGAATTATAGGCATGTACCACCACCCTTGGCTCAGTTCATTGTAATATCATGGAATCACTGTTGTATACACAGCCAGTTGTTGACTGAAATGTGTTATGTGACACACAACTTTTTTGGAGGGGGTACCAGGGTTTTGAACTCAGGACCTTGTGCTTGAAAGGCAGGTGTGGTGCCCCTGAGCTACATCTCCAGCCCTTAAGTTTCAGTTTCAAAGCACTCTTTGTGGCCTTTCACCCCTCTGGAAGAAGGATCCCCAGGACCCCACCCTCCTGCACACACACACACACACACACACACACACACGCACACTCCAGTGCACACACACGTGCTCAGTTCCTCTAAGTCTCCTTCTTGTTTCCCCATCTTCCTGCTGAGAGCACCTTTACTTATTCTCAGCCTCAATTCCTAGCATGAAACACAGACCAATACAGAGTTTAGAATGGAAAAAAAAAAAAAATGAATGGAAGCCAGGCATGGTGGCACATGCCTGTAATCTCAGCATTCGGGAAGCTGAGGCAGGAGGATCTCAAGTTTGAGGCCAGCCTGGGCCACATAGTGAGACCCTGTCTCAAGGAAAAAAAAAAAAGGGTGGACATTTTAGGGCTTGCATAGTATTTCATCACAAGATAGCACCAGTTGAGCCATTTCCCTACCCTTGAACATGTAGGTGATTTTTATATCCCTAATTACTGTAAACAGTGCTGTAGAGTTTTCCTTTTTGGGCCTCAGGCATGCTGGGTGGGTGTGGTCCCCTGAGCCCCACCCCCAGGGCCAGGGCGAGATTTCCATTTGATAAACCTTGGGCGCCCACTTCTGATGTCTCAGTGTGCATGCGCTAACTTGTTGTCCCACTTTGAGCACAGTCCCCTAATTTTAGGGGATGTGTCGGATGTGTCATTGATGACTGCTTGGTGACAGCAGCAATCTTCTCTCGTCACACAGCTGCATTTATATCCTTTCCTTGTTCCCATCCTGTGAGGCTCCTCTCAGCTCAAGGCCCTGGGTTTCAGGGAGGGAAGGCACGCTGCCCACGCCCTTGGTGCATCCTTGAGTGCAGAGCGTGGGGGAGACAGGCAAACCCCCCGGAGCTCAGGGCAGGGCCTTCCAGGAACCACAGGGCTAGGGACACAGAGAGATTCCTGGGCCAGGCCTTGAGCACATCCAACACCTGTGATCCTTGCACTCCAGGAGGCTGAGGCAGGAGGACGGCAAGTTCCAGCCCAGCCTAGGTAACTCAATGATTTATCAAGACCCTGTCTCAAAATAATAACAAAGAATAAAGGCCTGGGATGTAGTTCAGTGCACAGGCTCTGGGTTCAATCCCCAATACTGATAAAAAATAAAATAAAATAAGGATAGGGCCAGAGATTTAGCTCAATAGTTCCACCACCTGCCTTGCAAGTGCAAGGTCCTGAGTTCGGTCCCCAGTACAAAATAAATAAAATAATGCAAAAGAAGGTAAGGTAGAGTGCCCAGACTGAGCATTAGTGGCCGGGCGGGGAGCCTTGGCCTTGCAGTCCCCAGGAGGTCCTAAGACCCTGAGGCAGTGGCCAGAAGGCCCTTCCCACCTGTGATGTGGTCACACAGGAGTCGTTAGGACACCTGCATCCCGTCCCCACAGATCCCTGCGGCTGTGCACCTGGCTTGGTGGCTTGGGAACTCAGGGAGCCCATGGTCTTAAGGTGCCATGACCTGGGGGGATGGGGCGATCAGAGTGGCCAGGGACAAGGCTGGCATTGGAGTAAGCTGGTCTGGGAGCCCGAGAAAAATGAGTCTGTCTGTGTAAAAGACACAGCCATGCACTAAGGAAGGGTTCAAAGATAATGGCTCAGAAAGGATTCTTCAATCAACAGTTGACGAGCTCTTGGGGAAAAAGTGTGTCTCATTACTTAGTCCAGGGTGGCCTTGAAGTCATGATCCTCCTGCCTCAACCTTCTGAGTGCTGGGATTACAGGTAAGCACCACCCTGCCTGGCTGAAAACTTTATTTTAAAAAGGGGATTTGAGGCCGGGTGTGGTGGCGCATGCCTGTGATCCCAGCACTCAGAAGGCTGAGGCAGGAGGATCGCTGTGAGTTCGAGACCAGCCTGGGCTACATAGTGAGTTCCAGGTCAGTCTCAACTACATAGTGAGACCCTGTCTCAAAATAAATAAATAAATAAATAAGAGCAAAAATACAAAGGGGAGTTGAAGCTGGATGTGGTGGTCAATCCTATAATCCCAGCATTCAAGAGGTTGAGGCAGGAGGATCGCAAGTTCTAGCTCAGGCTGGGCAATTTAGTAACTTGTGAGAACTTTTTTTATTTTTAAGGGATAAAGGGATAGGGGCCCTGGGGATGTAGCTCAGTGCAAAGGCCTTGGGTTCAATCCCCAGTATTAAAAAAAGAAATAAAAAGGTTAGAACCCCACATGAAGAAGTTTCCTGGGCCTCTCTCTGTCTGTGAGACGCCATAAAACCCTGGCGCTACCGGTGCCCGTCACACCTTCCAGAGCCTTGGCTGCCCCTGTGAACTGTGGCTGGCGGTGTGGGGGTGGTGCAGAGCTGGCAGGTGCCCCGGAGGCCTCGCCCCTGTACCGCTCTTCAGAAGGGGGCCACCCTGCTCCCGGCGTGGGAGGCCCGTCCCTGGCCCCTGGGAGGGGACTGGCAGGGGGTGGGGAACGGCTGG